TATGGGTTAAAACTTAGACCAAAAATAAAGTTAAAAAAGGTTCTAAAAAAGATTCTTAAAACCTTGTGCATTTTTTGCTTAGAACATCAAATATTAATTACGAACTATTTTTTGGGAAATACAGTAATGGAAACATTCTTGACATCGAGTTTTAAAAGTTTTATCTCGGTTGCAATTGCACATTTTTCATACTAGGGGGTTTCAGAATTAACGTACGGGAATCTAAAATAGATAATGTACTCATTTTCAAATGAGTGATGTGTAAACCTTATTTCATTTTTTGAAATGATAATCTTTTTCGTTGAAAAGTTTACTTAATTCGTTAAATGGAAGTCTCTAAACACTCCCATTTCATTTTCTGATTTCAAAATTTTGATACACAACTAAATTTTTTAAACTCCTACTTATTTCCGAAATACTTTTTTTTCAATTCTGAAACCTTTAATACGTATTCATTTCTTATAGAAAGACTTTTATATAGGGATGTTAAGTAGTTAAAATTAAACTACATTGACTTAGTTCGGGACTCAAGCCGTTATCGTTTAAGCCAAACTCGTTTAAACTAGCTGGCTTATTACGTTTGTTAACACGTCATAAACTATAATAACTGGTTCTGTTTTTATATGAATAACCGTTTATAATAACTAGTTTGATTTTTTTATATTACTGGTTAAACTTAATTAATATTTTACTATATATAACTATTACTACGTATACAACAAGGGTTACATCGAATAGATGCAGTTGCTGTGAGTACGTAATGGTCATGAGAGAATAATTATGTGATTGCGTTAAGCTATGAATTTTTATTAATGCTTCGGAAGATCTAGTAAATCTTTGTAGATAATTTCTCTAAAGATTTCTTAATTGCTTTTATTTGATATAAGGTGCTTCTGAACACATATTTTTCGTTTCTTGTAAGTTTTAACGAACAAAATGATGCAAGTATGGATAACATGATTTTGGTGAGCTTATAATAGTTAAAACGAATATCAATAAAGACGATGATGAAGATAATTTAAATAAGAAATAAACGGTCTTATTTTTATAATTTAAAATGATTAATCAAACCATACTCGGATTTCACTTGGGAAGATATAAATTAAATAATACCGATCAAAGTTTTCTGAATATCGGAAGCCTCGATGTAAATGCTTATATTGGAAATATTGTATATAACAATCTTGTCAATCAGACTCAATATCCGGGGTCTTGGATGATAACATTGAGTGATTTTCATGTTAACGGTGTTTCAATTGGAGGAATTAATTCTCTTGCTTTGATTGATACTGGTCTGCATTATTTTATGTTAATTATTTTTTAATTTATTATCGGCTTTATATTAAAACCTTGTCTTGTTTCAATAATTAGGTACTCCAAGTATCATTGGTGACATTAATCAAGTCTCAAAGATCTATTCAATGATTCCTGGTAGTTCTTCTAATAATGGTATATGGTCGATTCCATGCAACACAACAACCATTGTATCTTTAGTGTTTAACAACATATCATATAAAATCAGCCCTACTGAATTATTTAGATCACCAAATCAGAGCAGTTCAATGTGTGTACCAGAGATCCAAGGAGGTCCGTATAACATATGGGTGGTTGGTGTTGCCTTTTTATCGAATGTTTATAGTGTATTTGACTATGATAACTTAAAAATTGGATTTGCTGAATCTAAAATTTTATAAATCGAAATTGCAATTCATTTATTTCTTTGTTGTAATTTATATACAGTATTAATTATCTACAAAATAATTATATAGTTAGATTTTGTTTTTTTCAATAACCGTGTAAACAAGTAATTTTTCTAAGAAGACTTGTATTTTGTATAATTTAGGTGAATTAAGTAGAATATTGTATATTATAGTTATTGTTGGTAATGTATGTTATAGTTATTGGTTGGTAATGTATATTATTCCCCACTTTATTAATTGTTTTTTATGGGGATTTACGTGTTATTTTTGCAATGATTTATTTTTAAACTCAGT